GGTTATTTTGAAATAATAAATCCTGCTTTCTTTGGGGAATAAGCCTATTTCAAAATAGTTATTTTGTGAGTTATTATCTTGAAATAAGTTATTTCAAAATAATTTCCAAGTGTAGACATGCCCCCAGTATCACAGCTCAACTTACATATAAGTAGTAAGCAGGGCAGCAGGGGGAGAAGATGGCAAAAGACAGAACAAATTTGCATTTAAAAAAGTCCGGGAAGAGGAAAGAGAGCCTGGAACCTCCTTCACTGCCAATAACTCTTAGAAGAATCTTCAAAGGTTCTAAATAAGAAGGGAGCAGAGCACCCCACATTCTTGCTTTCATTTAAAATAAAAAGGGCACAAGCATTTTTGAGCCTCAGAGGAATCCTGAGCAAAGAAAGGGTAAGTCACCATTTTGCTAGAAGATTGCGGTGAGAAAGGCTATCTTGAACCAATATTTGTTTAAATTTTAAATGTGTGTTGTCACTCTTGTTTTCCTGCAGGTATTTCTAACTTTATCTCTTTAACCTGAAATCATTTAATATCTTTTCATAGGGTTTCCTGGTGTCCGGTATTGACCCGGATATTCCAGTATTTTCGCCTCCTGACAGGTAAAAAATTCAGAAAATCCGGACACCTGAACTATCTAGTATTTTCTTATTTTTTTCCCAGACAGGAGGTGAAAAATACTGGACACCTGGCAAACCTACCACACAACTGGGCCCCTTCCCCCAGACCTCAGCCGTCCCAGGATCCCCTGCTTACTTGGTTCCGCAGAGAAGCTGCGTTCTGGCTCCATCAAGAAAACAAAATGAAGCAAAAAGCCTAAAGAACTGAAGCAAGGGGAAGCAATGCCTTTCCTGGGTCTTAGCGCTCAACTTCTCGCTCTTGCTATCCCTATTCTGACTCTGCATGCACTTAAAGCTGTTTTAATGCTGTTTTATTGTTAAAAAAAATTTTTTTGGCTTAACTCTCGGGATCCTTTTTTCTTCCCCCTCAACAGAATTTTTCCCCCGGTGGTTTTCTTTTAGGTGGGGGGTTGGTCTTCGGTACTTTTGGTTAAACCATCTGGCAACCCTACCTTTCAGCTTGTGTTAATAAACTTGTTTAATATTTTAATGTTAAAAACACAGTGCTGAGTTTAAATTGATTTGTTTGATAACTCCAGTTACAGTAACAAACTGTTGAATATTGACTCTTTAGAGGGACAATGGACCTCTCATATGTGAACTGCCCAGAAAAGAGCCAGACAGTACAGAACATATGTTTTGGGGAAAATTGGAGACTGGGAGTGTCATGATTATGACAGGGAGCGTGTTGGATTTACTCTGCAAGTGGTAAGCAAGGCTGCAGGAAACTAGTGTGTGAATGGTATGTTGCTGATAGGCAGGCCTGCTTATGGGGGAGAGGATAAAGGGGGACAATTGCCTCAGGGCCCAGCAATCCTACGGGATACAGAGCTCCCACTCCCTCTGAATTGCTGCCGGAGCACTGCTCCACACAGCTCTGAGGACTATGGGGTAGGCACTGCAGTGTGGGCACTGCTGAGGGCTAACTGCCCATTGGCCTCTGCTCCTTCCACCCAAGGGCCTGCCCCTTCCGGGGTGCAGAGGCACACGCACCCCAAAACTCACCTTGCCCCAGGCCCTGTGGTGGTTATCAGTTCCACTGCTGACAGGTTGCTGCTGTCAGAGTTGCACAGCACGCAGGGTGTGGCCTGCATGCTGGTAGGCTGTTTGTGAGCAGCCTGAATTGTGAGCTACAATAGCAAGGCTGCGTGGCAGGTGGTGACATAACCCATCACTGCTCTGGATTACACTTCAGAATGCGACAGTGTGCTAGTGAATCTGAACTATTTGCATAGGCATAGCTTTAGAGGAAATGCCACCAATTAGAAGTTCAGTGTTATTATTATTGGTAATATAAGTTGTGTGGATTGTGAGCAGCCTGAATTGTGAGCTACAATAGCAAGGCTGCGTGGCAGGTGGTGACATAACCCATCACTGCTCTGGATTACACTTCAGAATGCGACAGTGTGCTAGTGAATCTGAACTATTTGCATAGGCATAGCTTTAGAGGAAATGCCACCAATTAGAAGTTCAGTGTTATTATTATTGGTAATATAAGTTGTGTGGATGTTGATGGCCAGATTCATTCTAAGAACCCAAGTCAGTTGTTAGTTCTAGTAGATGTCTCCTAGGGACATAACACTTGACAGTTACAGGCAGTCCCCGGGTTACGTACAAGATAGGGACTGTAGGTTTGTTCTTAAGTTGAATCTGTATGTAAGTCGGAACTGGCATTAGCCGCTGCTGAAACTGATCAGTTTCAACAGCCGCTGAATCTGGACACCAGTTCCACTTACATACAGATTCAAGGTAAGAAC